CCCCTGATTAATGTGTTTTTAAATTTTGTTTTTAGTTTTCTTCTTTTTTTCTCCTTGAAATAAAATGAAGCTGAAAAAAAATGAAAATAAAGACAGCAAGACCATTCATTTCTACCTCAGAAATCTCTCCAGATATACCATGCAAGCCACGGCATAATCAATTGAAACTGACAGCGACAAAAGAAATGGTAGCTTCTACCACCATAAATCATCAGCTATGACAAGGAGAGACAGGTCTTTCCTATCCATAGAGTTAGCACACTTTTATGATACTTGACCTCCCAAGGAGAAGGAATCTTTATATTCTCTTTAGCAGTTTGCACAGATCTTTGTACATAAGCCATCAATAAATATTTGCTGAATGAAACTGATGATGCTCAGCAGGCTCACCCCTGCTCCTACTCCACATACACATACACAGAGAGAGACAGAGAGACAGTGAGAGAGAGAGACAGAGACAGAAAAAGAGAGAGAGAGAGAAACGCTTATTATCTAAGGAAACGTTTCCATACACATTTTGTAAGAGCTAAAGCTAATGCAAGAAAATGACCCATCCAGCCCATTTCCCTCTGTGGTAGACCATCTTGTCTCTTTGGAACTGAGCAAAGGTGGTTACACTGAAAGGAGCAGTACCCAATACCATTCACTTGGGGGCTTAGGGATGGATAGTAGTTGGGAAATTCCTGGCAATGGGGGAAATATGTGGACCATGGACATATGGAAGGGCATATATACCCCCTCCTGGCCTGATCCAATGTTAGGTTTCTAGATACCAAGAACCTGTATTCACAAAAGACTAAACGGAGCAGAGAGTGAAGGTCAAGTGTAGACACAGGCATTCCCAGGGATAACCAGCCACAAAGGACGGGATTCTCTCTGAAGACACAGCAGTGCTACATCCTCAGACAGTTCTAGGCAAACCATCATAGTAAAGAAGTGTATGGCAGGGGAACTATAGAGAATTGGTCCTGCAGGGACCTTTCCAGGGATACCCTGTGGTATGAGAGGCAGAGGCCTCTGATAAAATGATAGTATGACAGGCCAGGCATGATGGTGCACACTGTAATCCCCACAGTCAGGCGGCTAAGAGGATACCGTGAGTCTGAGGCCAGCCTGGGCTACAGAGTGCATTCAAGGTCAGTCTGAACTGCATAGTACGACCCTGTCTCAAAAAATGAGTAACTAAAATAAAATAAATAGATAAATTTTTAAAGACAATAGTGTGATAATGCTTGGGACATACTAATGTCTTCAGTTGGGTTCCTAGTCTGAAAAGTACTTTCTTTTTCTTACCACAAATGTAACTAGAAATGGGAACTTTCCCATGCGAGTAGCCAGCCTTGATATGGAAGAGAGTCACGCGAAGGAATGACCTCCTTCCTATCTTTTCTTCCCTTTTCTCTTCCACAAATACACAGTTAACCTCAGATGGTCACTATGCTGTACAGTGTTAGTGGTCTGGTTTATCTTTCCACTTAGGAACGCACTGTTTTTGATTCCCCACCGTTGTGATCCTCTCTCTGGTTTCCTGTCTCTCCCCAGAAAATGAAAATTTTGCCTGTAAGCTTTTAAACTCATCAAGAAAATAGCATAACCAGGGCCTGAAAGTTGTTCTGACTCCCTGGGGTCTACTGCAAGAATGCAGGTATTTGTTCTCCACTGTCTCCTAAGGGGCATAAAGGGTAGGACAATTCAGACTCGCACTAGGCCTCCCTGAGGCTGCTCCCTCTGGGAGCTCCGCCTCCCTGCCCCGCTGGCTCCCCAGCACGCGTACTCCAACACTTGCCTCTGTCCCTCAACATTCCTAGAACTTTCGCTGTCCTCTGAGGTCAGCAGCATATTTAAAGCATTTGTTTTCATGCTGTTCCCATCAGTGCGACTGAGTTTAAGGGAAGATATGCCTAAGGGAAATTCCGCTCACTTTTCTGGGAAATGAGCTGCTTTATGTTCCAAACCCAAATTCTAAAGCTCGCATTTCTGGTAAGGTTAAATGGTGATTTTATTGAAACAAAGCCATACACATCTTAGGCAATCTCACATGTTGTTCACTTAACACGTGAGGTTCTCTTAACTTTTTAAGAAGATCTAGACAATGTGAAGTTTCATGTTTTAAAACTGCAAAACCTCTAAACCTCTAAAAAGTAAAGTAAGAAAGCACGGAGTCACGGACTCCATGAATTTAAACCTCACTGTCTGAGTGAATTTGAGCAGCTCAATAGCGTCCCCTGGTGGCCCTGAATACAGACGGGCGCTTCAGCGAGTAAGGGTAGATTTAGCCTCCAAAACAAGGTAGAAATATTTTGTCAAACCCTTTACCCTTTGCTCAGAAAAGTATGAAATGTTAATTGAAGTTAGAAATTCAACCCACACAAATATATCAAGGACCAAGAGTAAGAGACTGAATAGCTATTGTTTTAATAAGTTGTCATGGGAAGGAATGACTGAATACTAATGTGATTAATTCTTTATATGTGTAAAATCTTTATTAACTAATCAGATACCTCCTCAGTGCCAATACTAACCCCTCAATAATCATTCAGCCACTATGGATAGACAGATAGACCAATACAGATATATAATGTTTGCTTTCCTTTGTATCAATACAATTCTTGTATGTTGGATATGAAATACAGAAACACAGACAAACATCTTTGCATTCAAAGAGCTCCTATTTTAGCGAAGGAGGAAGACTGAACAATTAAGCCAAAAACTGCAGAAAACAAGATCTATGGAGAAATTCAAGGGCTGGGGTAGTATCTCAATGTTGGCACACTTGTCTAGCACAAACAAGCCCCAGTTGGATTCCCAGCACCGAAGAAAAAGATGGGGGGACAAGAAAGGCAGAGAGTAAGAGGAGGGGGCAGAGCAGGAAGAGGAGGGAAAGGAAGAAATTCAGGCAGGCAAGTGGCTAGAGTAATGGAGCAGAGACTAAGGAGGGCATTTGGGAAAGGATGCTCATGGGAAGCCTCCCGAAGAGTGCTATGGTTTGAGTATGTCTCCCAAATTTTACACGCTGGAAACAATCCTAAAGACATCTGTTAATGGTACAAGTATTTGAATACTCAGATTCTAGAGATGGGAACTTCAAGAGGTGACTGGGTCATGGTCATGAGGGCTCTACTCCTTAAGTGACTGATCCATCTGTGGATTAATGGATTAGTAAATTATCAAGGGAGTGGCCTTGAATAAAAGCAAGCTCTCAATACACTTGCTGTGCCCTGCCATGTGATGCCATCCATCATGTCATAACCCAGCAGAAATGCTTCCCACAGACCTGAGCAGATGCCTGTGTCATGCTCTTGGATATCCAAAACCATAAGTCAAATTAAATTCTATTCTTTATTAATTACCCAACCTTCAGTGTTCAGTTTTAGCAACAGAAAATGGACTGAGGCAAAGGTGGTGGCATTTGAGCAGATATCTGAATGATTATGAAGAAGTCATGCAGAAAAAGTATCCCAGAACAAATGCAAAGCAAACAGAAAGGCTGGATGCAGGGAAAAGGTTGAGCCAGTTAAGGACTAGTGAGAAGGCCAAGGAGACAGACAGGCAGTGCTTAGTGAGAAAAGAGGGAGAGAAAGGGAGATGAAGTCAGCGAAGGAGGCAGGGGCTGGACTACACGTTCTGTGCTAAGAAATGTGGATTCTATTCCAACCTCAAAGGAAAATCACTGGAGACAGCTAGCTGGTGCTGCCACACTTCCAAACTCATTTTAAAAAGAGCACTCTGGCCACTGAGCAATCTTAACTACAGTTATGTTTGCAATTCTGACTGTAATGTTTCGCACCTGTTTCAAACCTGAGATTTAAGGGTGAAGGGTGATAGAGTGAAAGCAGGAAACAGAAAACAGCTACAGGAGTCCAAAAAAAGTAGTTTCTGCTTCCATCAGGTTGGCAGTGGCAAAGGTGAAGGTGCAGATAAGTTGCTGAATTCAGGATATACTCTTCGGACCGTAAACCAACATAGATTGTTCATGGACTAGAAATTTGGGAGTAGGATGAAATCTATTAGGGTTCCTTTTAGACTTGAGCAGTGAACTGGGTGGAAGCCAATAACTAAGTGAAGACTGAATGGAGGCCCTTTCCATAAAGGAAACTATCTCCCCAGTGGAATGATTCTGGGAGAAACAGGAAGTAAGGATGCCAAGCCCCCAGGACAGACAAGTCTTTCAAAGAGTTTTAACATAAAAGGAGGCAGAGAGAAGGTAGAGTAGCTGGAGGGCAACATGGACTCAAAGAAAACGTGTTGATTATTTCATTCTTTTCATTAAGCAAGGAGTGCTGCAACAGCCTTCACAGTGCAAGGAATAATTCTATACTGGGGAATAATTCTATAATACAAGGAATAATTCTATACTGGGTTAGGCAAGAAGGGAGAGAATCCAATGTATCCATTTCAGGGAATAGCAGCTTGAGATGGGAGCAGGGGTAGGAGAGATAGAAAAATATGTGGCATGCAGGTAGGAATGTATATTTAGGAGTGGGAGGGCATCACTTCTAAGTCTAAAGCAATCCACAGGATATTCATGGATTTGAGCCAATATACAAGTTCACAGATTTGAAGAGAAAGAAGAAAACCAGTGGAAAGTGAAACTTACTATGGTCTATAGTGCAACTGCCAATTCCTTTCCCCTTAGTAACTTATTCATTAGGACTTGCACCAGAATGTCAGTTAAACATGCGACTCAGGAACAATGACAGACAATCTTTCTTTTTTAAGTGTGAAATATTTTAAATGCTTCCAACATGCAGAGGGAATTTAACGAAGAGTCATGCATATACTACATGGGTTTTTAATCAATGGTAATCTTTGTTTTAGATATTTCTTGAGAAATAAAAACATCACAGTCACAATTGCAAGCCCCTTAGCACTCTTCCACTTCTGCTCCTTCTGGAAGACCATGGTGTAATGATACAAAGCAGCAGTGCACCTCTTCATCCAGGCCTATCGGCAGCACTGTGGTAACCTGACTAATCCAAACGCTGTTCCTTGAGGTTTACCTGTTATCTGGGTTGTAAGGGAGATGATCACGGGAAGTTCTGATGACAAAGACCGGAGGCTGACATTGTAGTTGGTACCCGGGTGCAGGTCTAAACACATCTCAGGAGACTGGCTGCTGGTCGTAGTATTAAATATCATTTCCTGGGTATATCCCTTCTGATACCATCTCTGGCCCCAAATGTGGAACTGAAAAATACAAAAGCTCACATGGTAAATTGCTGGCTTGAAAGCCTCTGAATGCCTGGATACTCTTCCTTTTTTGCATGAGTTTTCTCCCTACATTTACCCCTATATAAAGTTTCTTCAAAAAGTACAACACAGTGGAACATAAACACTAGAGTTGTAATCCTATACATATTATGATAATGATGAGACTAATGAATACATTTTTAATTAAAAATGCCCAAGGGGCTGGGGATTTAGCTCAGCAGCATAAGCGCCTGCCTTGCAAGCAGGCAGTCGTGAGTTCGATCCCTGGTACGATAAAAAGGAAAAAGACAAAAAAAAAAAAAAAAATGCCCAAAACAGTGAGGTTCCAAAACTAGTAACTTGCAAATTCTTGTTCTCACATGTACAGTGCACATGCCCAAAGCAGAAACCAGGTGGCAAAACTGCAGGAACAAAGAGAAAGAATATGCTCCTAGAAAGAAAATTAAGGATCTGCACTTGGGGCAAGGGACTGAAAAAGGATGGTGGTTAAAATGTGGTATGTGCATGTACAAATCTTCTAAAATGAAATCTATTAGATCTATTAACCCGTACGCACTAATAAAAACGGTGTGAGGGGAGGGATCTGAACTATGCAGGACCTGAACTATACTGCCTACACCTGAGCTTTGCTTCTTTTCTCTTCTCCTTTTTCTTTTCTTTTCTCCCTGCCTTGCTTTACCTTTCTTTTTTGTCCTTGCAGTGCTGTGGATACTACGTGGGGGCCTCAGGCATTCTCGATAAGCACTCTACCACTGAGCTACACCCACAGTTCTGAACACTTTTTCTTCCTACTTGATATCTCCTAGTAGCAGCTCATCCCTGGTCTTTCCCTTTCTTATTCACAACCACATTTATCAGCAAATGTTCCCTTTAATTCTCCTGGCAACACATTTAGGCCTGTCAGAGACACTGGTGTGCACAGAGACAGCTGGATTCTCTCCATGCTTAAGCATCAACTGTATGTCAAGATAGGCAAACAAAAACTCTCATGGCTTTCTCATCTCTTCCCAAGGTTTCTGCTTTCCAATATATAGACATGGATGTTGTTGTGGTTTGTGTTTAATGTCCCTCCATACCTCATGTAGTCATGGGAGGTGGTACCTTAGAAGGCAGCTGAGTCTAGCATTTGTGATTGGTTCACTGTCTAGCACTGGGTTGGCAGTGTGAGCGCTGCCCAGGAACAGGGAGCTGGCATATAATACAAGGGAGGAAGGAGATGAGCTTTGCCCTTTTGCCCTTTTGCTCTTATCACTTCTGGCCTCCATGAATGGCTGCCCCTCAGCTGTGCCACCCTGCTTTGGAGCCAGTTAAATATGAACTAAACCTCCAAAAACTGTAAGCTAAATAAACCTTTCATTTTCAGTGTCAAGCATCTTATCTCAGCAATAAAGGAAAACTAACCAAGCGAGCTGTATTCTTGTTTCTCGTAATTATCTTTTGATAATTACATAAATCCTCTCCTGATAATAGCAGCTACAGAAATAATTTTTAGCTGGGCATGGTGGTGCACTCCTGTAATCCCAGCACTTGGGAGGCTGAGGCAGGAAGATCATTGCAAGTTTGAGACCAGTCAGGGCCACAAAGTGAGCCCAAGACTAGCCTGAGCCACATAGTGAGACCTTGTCTCAAAAAAGACAAAAAAAGAAAGAAAGAAACAGTTTTTAGATTTGCAGACATTGTTTAAACCTGCCACACATGACAAACATCTATAAATAAAGTAGCTTTCAATAACTTACTAAGTACATCTCTTCTGTACCAGCTGTCTTCATACTTCTCCATCTCAAGCAGGTTTCATTAAATACTGAAATATTCCTGATGGTCTGTTTTACTGCACAAGAAAAAGAATGAGAAATAAAGTTATCTTCTACACAAAAATACTGACTTTTAATTGAGTCATTTTCCAAGGATTCACATTTGCATAGGATGAATGCAGCAGTATTTTAAATTAGAAGTTAGTGGTAGCAGTGTCCAAGAAACACCCTCTTATATTTAAGTAAATCAGTCCTGATCAAAGATTTTAAGATCTGAGGACACTCAATCAGAGTGTCTCAGTTCTTTTAAGAATCAAGTCTACCCACTGCAAATTTACTTACCCTTGGTTTACTAAGCTTAAATAATAACTCGTCATCCTGGGCTTTGGACCTCTACATTTATACAAATAAGTGTCAGTTTGAAATCCTGAGATGGGAGGCATATATTAGCACAGAATTGCTGCTTGAGGAGCTGAGAAATGGGATTTAGCTCAGTGGCATAAGCACCTGCCTGGCAAGCATGAGGTCACAAGTTCAATTCCCGGTACCAAAAAAGAAAGAAAGAAATGTTGTCTCAAGTAATAAGGCTTTTCATGATGAAACAGATGCTTCTCTTGGTTTGGACTTCCACATTTCTTATCATCAAAGAAGCACTATGGTGGACATGGTGGCGCATGCCTGCAATTCCAGCGTGCAGAAGGCTAAAGCAGGTGGATTGCTGCAAGTTCAAGGCCAGCCTGAGTTCCATAGTAAGCTCAAGGCCAGTCTAAACTAGATAATGAGACACTCACTGTCTCAGAAAAAAAGAAAAAGAAAAGAAATGCAGAAAGAAAGAAAAAAATCAATGCAAGCAAGCAAGCTAGTTATCTTTCTCGGCCTCCACTCTGTGTACTCAGTTTCATAGCAACTGATCTACAAGTTAGTCCAGCTTTGGTACAGTTTACTGCAGACACACGCCCTTCAATTTTTAAACAAAGACTACTTATTCCAAACTCTGATATCAGAAATTACTACTTCCTTTACCAATGATCCCTGCCCCCAAACTGCAAATAATATAGCAGACTTGCTAAGTCATTTCAGAGGAATCCTGTATGATTAATGGTTAGTGACTAACACAGACAACTCCCACAGCACCTGAAAGAAAGAAATTCCCACAAGGGGCAAGGCTGTATCAGATGAGTCTCGCAGGCTGCTGTGAACGAAGTCAAATTGGTAGATATGACCTTTCTGTCTGGACTGAGCAGGTTTGCACAGAGAAAACCTGCTTCACAGACCACAGCTAAGCTCTACATGTTGCAGGAGAGAGCAGGCAAAGAAGTAGAGATGGGTCAGAGTAATGCAAATCCACCACTAGATACAGAAGAAGATTTGCCCTACTGGATCCAAGGACCCTGTGTTCCCGAGGCATTCAAAACACTGGTATTATTTAACAGCTTCAGGTCATATAAAGAGGTATTAAGTTTCCTAGTTTATTCAGTATGGCTAGATAATCCAGAAGGATGGCACAACCAATCATTAAGCACACTACACCAAACTCACTTGTCAATATAGAGATAAAAAATCTAAAATAAAATATTAGCAAATAGAAGTTAGCAGCACATTCAAAGAACAATATACCATGACAGGGGAAGATTCATTATTAAAGACATACAGGATTATTACTGGAAAAGCTTTAATGGCTGGAAGAGGAAAGCCGTAAGTTTATAATCATAATGGTTCATATAAGCTCCTAACTTAAAATCTTAATTATAAAGGACTTAATTTGATAGAAATTCCTTAATTTAATAGTGCTTATTAGAAATCACCATTCTCAGGGCTGGGGATTTAGCTCAGTGGCGTAAGTGCCTGCCTGGTGCTGCTGGTGAGCATGCGTTCATGAGTTCGATCCTCCCAAAAATAGAAAGAGAAAATAAATCAGAAATCACCATTCTCAGTGGTAAAACAAATAATTTCTCTTATAGTTAAGACTAGGTTTGGTGGTGCAACACCTGTAATCCCAATGCTCAGGAGACTGAGGCAGAAGGATCGCTGTGAATTTCAGGCCAGCTGGGCTACAAAGTGAATTCCAGGTCAGCCTGAGCTACAGAGTGAAACTGTCTCAAAAAGATTTTAAAAAAAGAACAATACAAGGATGCCTGTAGATCTCATGGCTATTCCTTGGCCTTAATCAGGAGGTTCCAGACAATGTAGAAAAAGAGGCAAGAAAACAATGAACCACAAATACCAAAAAGAAAGGAACAAGTGATGTAACTGCCAGCATATCTAAGAGAATCAACTGGAAACCAAATATGAAACTGCTTAAAAACAATGAAAAACAAATACAAAATAATAGAGGTTTGCCAAGGTACACCCAAATAAAGAACATACAAAAAATGAATCATTTTCTATGTATTTACAAGAACAAGTACAGCAGGCTGAATAATGACTCCCCTAAGACATTCGCATCCTAGCCCCTGGAACCTGTGAGTATGTTATTCTCATGTCAGAAGAAGCTGGCAGAGGTGATTAAGATAGGGAGATTTCCCTGGATTATCCAGATGAGAACAGTGTACTTCTAAAGATCCTATGAAACAGAAGCAAGAAGATCATGGCTAAAGAAAACTTGTATCTGAACGTGGTAGCATGCAACTGATTCCCAGCACTCTGAGAGTCCGAGGCAGGAGGACAGCACGTTTGAGCCCATCCTGTGCAACTTAGCGGTGGAGGTATAGCTCAGTGCAAAGGGCCTGGGTTTAACATTCATTATCTCAAAAAAACATAAGAAACTATGGATGGAAAAGAGGTTAAACAGATAAGCTTTAAAGATGGGAGGCAAGCTCCCAAGCTAAGGAATGCTCTGGAAACTAATTGGAAACAGTGAGAAAATAGATTCCCCCCATGAGCCCCAGAGAGAACACAACCTAACCTAACACTTTGGTTACAGCCTACTGAAACTGATTTCAGACTTCTGCTCTCCAGAACAGAAAGAGTCAGTTTGTACTCTTTTAAGCCACTAGGTTCACAGTATTTGACAAATTAGCAACAGAAAACTAACATAAGCAACAAAATAAAATATGAAAACAATTTTAAATTTCAAAAACCCTATTCAAAATCCTATTTAAATAGCTACAAATTAATCTAACTGGAAATGTCAAAATGTACATGAAGAACTTTTTGTTGCTAAAAGACATAAAAGAAAACAATACAGAAAGAAACACTGTAATCTTGAACAGAAAGACTGAGTGAAAAACGTCACTGCTGTTCCAGTTAATCTACAAGTGTAATACACTTCAGATGGCAATTTTTGGAATTTGGCAAATTCACTGACTCATTCCACAAATATTTTTAAAGTTCTTACTGTGCTCCAGCCATGCTCATTTGATCAAGTGATAAGAAAAGATATAGTTCATTCTAGGGAGGGAGGAGGAAAATAAGTGAACAAGTACCATATTTAGACATGTAATTTTAATTACAGGATGTATTTGTACGCCATTAAGGCCTATTAAAAAAAAGCAGTACACAGAATGCAAGAACGCTGAGCGAGGCCCTCTGTAGATGACACATGCCAGAGACCACGAGGTGTAAGCGATCACTGAGGGCTCAGGGGAAAGGGGTGCAAGAGAGAAGGAACCACAGAAGAAAGCCCCAAAATCACACTGCTTGCCACTCTCAAATACAAAGAAATTACCCGTAATTTATTTGAGGAAATTAATGAGAAAAACAAGGGGAAATAAGCCTGAAAGAAATCTACTAAAAAGAAGCATAACCAGATAGATACCAGGACCTAATATAAAACCAGAGTAGTATTTCTCAATTTCCTTTTGTAGTAGCCCTTGAAAGGGGCCCTTTCAGATATTCTTTTTCCTTATTGCTCATCTCATTCCCTATAAAATTTTAATGCCACAGGTATGCTCTATGTCTGTTCTGCACTATGTTTATCTGTGCATTATATGCACAGTATTTCTTTATTCCTCAGGAACCAATTTTTGCCTCCTGATGAGTGATTTTGCCCCCGGGGGGTGACATAACCCCTATTTAGAATGTCAAAGTAATTAAATACTGTTTCACTAGCAAGGGAATAAATAAACAGATCAATGGAGCAAATCAGAATCCAGAAAAATAGATAAACCTATTCATGAGAATTTATATCCAATAGAAATCATATTTTAAATCAGTGGGAAATAAATTCGTTGCACAATAGTTATCTACATGGATATTAGATTCCTACCCGATTTAACAGACAACAATGATGCCAGCTGGATTAAATTTTTAAATTAAAAAATGCACTACAAAACTGGGCATACTGGTGCAAGCATGCCTGTAATCCCAGCACACAGGAAGGATCACAAGTTCAAGTCCAGCTTGGCCAACTTAGTGACTTAGCAAGACCCTACTTCAAAGACTCATGCATGTGTAGAATCTATAAACAGTTTATGAGAACTGGTCTTATGATACATGATGAAATGAACAGATATTTTGAAGAAAAAGAGACACCAAAATACCCAATACTGATCCTGGAATGTCGTAATGTGAAACCCAGCAATAGTATTATTCTTTGTTCAGAGTGATATTAGACTGCTTGGGTTTATTCAATCTCAACATAATTGAAGATATGGATAACTGCATGTATGTTTAAGTGTATAGGATTGACAACCATGTTACTAAGTTTTGTTGGACAGTTGAATACAACTGTTTGCAGTCTCGCTGTTTGAATTCCCACTTTACATATTCCACTCTTGTACCTTAAACAACTATTTGTTCAACCCAATATATAAACATCAACTAGTGATTTCTTACTGTTTATTTTTTTCTCTGAACAAATGTGTTATTTCTACCTATTTTCTGTTTTGTTTAGTCTTTCTTTAAATAAAATTTTTTTTAAAAAGACCTTACTTCAAAACTCAAATTTTATAAAGGAGATACAGCTCAGCGAAAACCATTCTGGGTTCAATCTCCAGTACCACCACCATAATATATATTATATATAAATATACATACATACAATAATTTTTTCATTCTTGGGTAGGAAATTAATAATAAACCTACTTTTTAAATTTTGGATACAGTCTTTACTTTCTTTATGGAAAAAGATGTGACA